AAAGCTATGTAAGAATCTAAACCAGAAGCTTCAGCTTCCTAACGCATACTTTTACAAGTTTATACATACCTTTCAACCATCCCATTTGACCTTGCATAGTAAGGGCTAGACGTCTTGTGTTCAAACCTCCAATCTCTGGAAAACTGTTTAAATTTATAATTTGCAAATTAGGAACCATTGTACGAATATAAGCAACAAGGTTTTCCATAGCGTGCAAAATTGGATTTTAGGGCTAAAATGACACACTCGGACGTTTCATATTTCAATTCTTTGAGCTCAATGCAATGAACTTGCTGAAATAATCAACTATATGAGCAAAAATTACTCATTATCAAAATAAAAAATATGCACTCCCATGGGTTTTTTGAAATTTCAGACAAATACTTCAATTTTTAATTAAATCAGCAACCTCTTTACCCATGTGTGGCCAAAATAGTATCTTTTTAGCCAGTGGCGCACCCAGGTTTTTTATTTGGAGGGGGGGGGTTTCATAATGATGAAGGCTAGCCGCAGGCAGGCGCTGCCGTAGGCCGGCCGCCATAGGAAGAATTTTTTTTCGCTAACTCACACTGGCTATATTTTCTTTAATTTACGACGCGACGAGTGACAAGAATATGAAAGATTTCATCAAGTTTCGAGTTTTTTTACGTTACACGTACGGGTACGGGAGCCGATTGCAACTTGCAACAAATCGTGAAGGTGCGTTTCCATCAAAAAACAATTAACAATTAAAACGAACGGTCGCAACAAAATAGCTGCGCGAAAAACAGCTATTGTCACCGCCACTGTTTTTATAATCATGTGCATTTAAAAGAGTGTCCTCATAATTGCAAACATTCTAAATTCCGTCTCTAGTCTCCACCAATCAAATAAAGGACATCTCTTATGGGTTTTTGGTTTTCTGCCAAACTCAATGAAATTTTGATATGTGGTATACCTTGACTTCCTGATAAAAAGTTCTTATAGGCCCAATCCGATACTATAGATAGTTTTTGAGATACTGGTAGTTAGTTTAAGTACACATTTTATTATGAATTTACATCTACCTGTCACCTAATAACATTGAGCCAATTGAGCCTAATAAATAGCAGGTTGGACAGGTATCCTCACTCTCAGGTGACAGGTAGATGTAAATGAATATAAAATGTGTACAGTGGGAATCATTGCAATTGGCACATACTCTTTCAACATCCCTCGTTTTAGGTCAAAATTCTAACCAATTAATTTATTCAGTGCAGCGGTGTACCTACGTAATATTTTATTATTACTATTTTAATCAATAATATAACAGTGCGTCATCACCCGGCAGAAGCGTAACATGTAACATACCAAATCAACATAAGAGCTCAAGAACCAAACCTAACACTAAATTGCTATCCATACCTCTAAATATTTTCTTCCTTTTTAACAGTTTATCAAAACTATAATGTTTGCCACTGATTTATCAATTTGACACGAATCAAGACACCCCAGTCCGTAGTCGTAATACTTACCTACATAACATACCCACCTGCACTTGGAAGTCTTTGGTAGGTATAGTTTTTCAAAAGTTAATTGGAACAAGGTGAACATAAATTATAACTGGTGGCTGACTAGTGGCAGTGCATTTCTTATGGAAATTTTCAGTAACTATAGTCAGCCACCAATTGGTACCTTGCTCCAATTGAGTTTGGGAAATACTATATCAAAAAAGTTGGTAATATTGTTAGCGGGAGTATTCATCTAGTTCTGTTGGACGGTTAGTAATTATTCTTGCAGAATTAGGTGAATTGGGAACAAAAATAAACATTTTGAAAAAACAAAACGGAAGTATTTAGGAAATTTAATAAATTATGCGATCCTATGATGGATATGTACAGAGTTAAAACATTATGCGTGAGCCTACACATTGACTGTGCACTAAACTTTCTATTTATGCTATCAGGAGATCGGGGTTTATTTTCATTTTTCAGGAGTTTTTTAAAGTTCAGCTTATTTCTTTATTAGAAGTAGTTTTATTTTGAGAAATTCGTGAAAAGTTTCACTTGAATCTTGAATGACAGAATTATAGGCGGCCTGCGGCCGCCCCTAGATTTGGCCGCCCGCGTGCGGGGCACGCGCTGCACACCTGCTAGGATCGGCCCTGCTGAGACCATACTACTGACATATTCGACCTCATTTTATATTGTACCCACAAAAAACTCATGCTCATCCTCAGAGCTGTCTTCTTTTTCAATATTCCGAATTATTTTTTCACTGTTGGGTACGTTTTAGCAAAATGGTTGTACTTTTTACAAATATTGCACATTTTTCTGAAAGCTGGGCTTTTTTTTCCATGTTCCCAACCGCACGACTTGCACTTGGGAAACTTTTCATAATATCTATTCTGATTTTCTTCATATTTACTTTATGTACTTGCGCTGCTAGAACTTGCGAAAGAACTTGCCAACCTAGTTCCTCTCTTCAATACATCTATTTTGCTACCGTCATTTTCTTCTAATTACTTAGACCTTATATTGGCTAGTTCTGCAGTTTCACAAATGTTAACACACCTAGTTAAAGAAAGATTGCCTTTCCGTAGTAGGGAATCACATGTGATGAATTCTCAATCAATTGATATTTATTAAACAACATGTCCTAACCTCTGCATCCTAGTCTCTTCCCTCCAAGACACTGCCTTCTGTCAACTCTATTCTCCTAAACCTAACCTACTTATAGGCAACCACATAAACAATAAACATATTCTTATGACAGTGAGCAGGGAATTTATAGATTACTCATGTTCTGTAGTTTCTGTTGCTTGTTCCCGATATCTACAGTGGTCGTCTGATTTGCCTATCGTTTTTAGATGATATTTCACCAGGCAGTGTCCAGTGAGCAGGCCAACGACTGTTCTAATGTCTCTTATCGTATCAAGAAGTTGTTCAGATCTTTTTGCGATGGATATGAACCTTTTTGCCTATCTGAAACCCGGAATGGATCTTCGAGGAGCTAGTATTCGGTCCTTTTCCCATCTGTTCATTTCTTCGAAGACATGGCTTTTCATTGTGCAACAAAAAGATCTACCGCCTTGTTGCCCTCTACGCCCTGGTGTTCTGGCACCCACATCAGGGTTAATTTGTTTTTACCAGCCAGTTGTTTAAGAATATTTTTACCCTACCAAACTAGCTGCGAATTGCACGATGGCTACTAGATCCTTTAGAGCCGCTTGACTGTCGGACAGTACCTAAATGTGTTCGGGACACAAAAGTTGCCCTGGGGTATTAACACCCTCATAATTCCCTTGATACATAAATAACTATCATTAAGGCAAATAATTTTTGTCATTTCGCATATAATGAATTCATGCCTAAACGAGAGCTTCTCATATTTCACAAAATATACAACAAGCGACTTTCATTTACCTACACAAAGAATCCTACAGAAAACTCGAGGAATATTTATTAAACTTTGTCGAGTTTGCAGGTTTTCTCCATCTCCTATTTTATTTTTAGTTGAAAAACTAAAATATAGCGTGCCTTATAATTTTTGATTATACGGCGGATTCCATATTATCACGGTTCGTGTATAGAACAGTCAAAAATTAAGTGTTTTAATGAATTGGTCTTGCTACACTGAATCAGAAACAACTGGCGAGAGAAAAATTTCCATACCAATAATGTAATTGTTTGTAAAAATCTTCCATCTTCCAACACAATGTGTATGAATTTTGGTGTATTGTTTTTTCGAACTTTCAGACAAATGGAACACGACATGAATTATTTTGAGTGGAACACCTTATATATTTTAGGCTATGATTTCCTGATTCCAAAAAGATATAATTCGTTTTTTTTTAACATTTGTGAAATATTCATGTTTTAAATTTGGCACGATTTCTAAAATTATATTGAAATGCCACCTCTATTTTGGATGGCCGTTATTTTTGATTTACTGACTACGTTTATTTCACGCGTTGTATCCAATCCTCAAAAAAATTACAAATGACAAATGTAATTTTTTCTTGAAGTTAGCAACACACCTCTCAAATCCGAGATGAGGGTGTTTATTTCACATTTGAGATAATCCATTTTAGTCTTATCCTACAAATTTGGAGGATTGGTTTAAGTACTCCGATCCGGATAAACTCTCTAATCCTGGGTGTTTATTTCAGGAATATTAATCCCCATTATCAATCCAATCCACTTAGTATCCGGATAAAGCGCATGAAATAAACGTAGTCACTGTCACGGATTACATTCCGAGTGAACCAACACTCACATACTTACAATTTACAATTCACGTGTTCACCTGATTAATAATAATAATGAAAAACTTCAATTAAGGAAAGTAAGTACCGCTTTTACTTCCACTAAAACAATAGTCTATTTTCAAGATTTTGACAATCTGTCAATTGGTTACGGATGAAAATAATAAGACGAAAATCTAGGGCCATATAGAATACTTGATGAGACCTTCAAAAAAAGGTACGACACGAGCCCTATCCTCTATTCAAATTTGGGGGGTTGTTTCTCCCCCAGCTAGGGGGTTAAAGCTACGGGGGTTGAAAAAAACTGAAAAATAGTTCCCACTCAAATCAAAAATCGACGTGTCCGAGCGTTTTTCCAGATTCTCATTCCAAATCCAATAAATTGAGGTGGACTGTTTTTCCTGGGGTATAAAAGAATTGCATACATTTTTTGAAACAAATGCTCCAAAAAAATAGTTTTGTTTTTTCCCGAACGCTGCGTTTTTGTAGCACCGGGCGGCAAACTACCTTAAACCGGCACTGGATGCATCCGACCACTCAATTGCAGCTTCACTTGGTCAAGACGGAAGACCTGTAGCATTTTTTTCAAGAAGATTAATAAATAGTAACAAAATCACTTATACCATAGTTGAAGCCCAACACCGAATAAAACCACATAGTATTTGAGGAAATGGCGGTGGATTGTAAACTTAACGCTCTTACTGTAATGCTATATTTGGAAAATATTCTGATTTAAGTGGACTACTTTTATAAAGTTTTATTTTGCAGATCAAAAATGGCACCACGCGCAAGCTCTTTCCTCTCCAAACGGGAGGCACCACCCGCTACTGCACTACCCGCCACCGTTACAGACGCCGTCACGGAGACAACTGTACCGAAACTAGCACCAGTACCGCTCAACATTTCCACTACACTGTCGCCATCTGGCGCCCCTCCTGCAGAAGGTCCCCATATCTTTAATAATAGATCATATCACCCATCTCATGGTCGTACGACCCCATTCGTGGTAGTACCAGGTAGAGCTAAATAAAATAAGTTTTTAAAATGTGTGTTACACCTAAACTCTTCACATGGAAACAAGTTGTTTTATACCCTTCTTCACGATCATTCAATACGCACACAGTAAGTAAATTACCTTCTTCACGATCATACAATAAGCACACAGTAAGTAAATTAGACCGATATACTGAATTTTCCTAAAGCTAAAAAAGCGCCGTTCAAAATATTTTCCGTATATCAGTCTAGAAGCCACTACCTGTATCTACCTAATTTTTATTTCTCAGTTTGCTCCAACATTTCTCTTGAAATTTGTACAAGCAAAATTTAATTCAAATTTTGAAGCCAGTTTTTTTATTTTCCATACAGGTTACTCAATCATTTTATTTTTATTTTTCACAATTATTATTACACTCATTCACACAGTAGATTTTGATAGATTAGCTAATAATATAAGGCATTGATGTAGAATAGAATGTCATTAATAATAAATAGCGGACAATCTCGACAACAGAGGGGGGCAATTTTGTCAGTTCTGTATTTTTGAAATAAGCGATTACCCAAAAAAACCGATGCTTCATAGTTCATAATCACAATTATTTTTCGGTTTCCTGTCACTTTATCCCAGTGTTTTAGGTAACTTCAAATCCACGTTTCAACATATGCGCTTAGTTCCTCTTGATATCCCCATTGCAAGTACTGTTTCCACCAGGAAGGTAGCGGAAGCCTCATGAGCCAACTCTTCTGTTTCTTCATTTCCGGCAGCCACAAGGCGTCCTTGAACCCAGCTCATTGTTTCCATGTTTCAATCGTCAGGTCTATCAACTACTCTTTGCATGCTGCTCAGAGTTTGTCTAACGTGTTTATATTGATGTTGTAGCCTGATATTCTCTTAGGCGCATACTATTATGGTCCGAATAGGGTACTTACATGGAAAATTAAATTGATTCTTGTTTATTGCAAACTGTAGGAAATCGAAAAAAAATCGTTACTTTTTTTTCATTTCGCCCAAATATTATTATTCCGGAAGTTATACAAATATTAAGTTTTGTATATATAGATATACTGACCATGTGCGACGTCACTAATTTATATGATAAGTGACGTCATAGGCATATTTCATAGCGTTGTATCTCCGTCAATTTTTGACTAAGAAGGAAAGGAAAAAACACGTGTTGACTTATTTTTCATGGACTATCGAAATCAGCAATAAAAAAATTTGATGCAAGTAGCCTATTGTAGCTAGGAATACTGTCGCATGATTGCCCATAGGCAGATCTATATTTATTCAGGGAGAATTCACCGTATATTATGGAGCCTGGTTCAGTTAAGTTTTTTGAGCCGGTAACCAGGATAGTTCTTTCTTGTTCGAGTGGGAGTCGATTCTGAGGTTGCGCCTTGATGTCATCAGATGGTATTCCTAATAGAAATCGAAAATTTACAGGAGGTCCCATTTAAAAAAATTGAAAAGCGTAACATTTTGCGAAATGTGGCAACACCGCGTTTTCTAAACAAATATCTCAAATTTAAATATAGTCCAAAGAAAAGAATAATTTTATAAAAAAAAAACATGCAAAAAAAAGTTTTAAAACTTTATGAGTAACGTAAAAATGAGTGTTGAAAGATACCCCAAATCCTGAAGATAATCGTTGATAAGTTCGAAACGGTATATCACAGACACATGTCCAGTATATCGTTGGATTTGTCTTTCAAAGGGCTATGTAAAAGTTTATCAAAATATAGGGTGTTTTATTTGAAAAAATGAAATTTTATTTGTCCACCCTGTATACAGTAGAGTGACAACAAAAACAATAGAAAAAAATTTTAGGTAATTTTATTAGAAACAACTTTTGTATTTGATTTTTTTTTACAGCCCTGGTAGATTTCGAGATAAGGTATAGGCCCCTCTTAAACGGGCCACCCTGTACATTTTTATCACAGGCGTAGATAATGCTTCCAAGTTGCTCGGTACTTTTTTGTTGATATCCGTTATCAGAATATGAAGATACGTTGGAGATATGATGTCGTAGATTGTTCCCCTGTTAAACTGGATATTTATCATATTCTCGTAGTTTGAACTTATTTCTGCAATGTAGTTAGTTGCTATTTGATAAGTGCTTAGGACATGAATATTTAGGCTGTTAATGTCTATACTTGAAAACCATTTGTTCATAGATTGAATTGCTTCCAATCCTTGATTAAGCCCTGTTTGGAATCTGCGAAGTTGATTATTTATTTTTTCTTCAGTAGTATTGAATGTTGATAGTGCGGAGATCATGAATTGTGTCAATCAACATTTCTTGATTTTTGTTTATATTACTTATATCCTCGTAGACCTCATCGCTGACGCCAAAAACGGACGTGAGAAATTTTCACAGTAAACCTCTTTTTGGACGAAGTTGTATTTCTTGGAGTGTCTTAAATATCCAGCTAAAATGTTGTTGTTGCTCTTTTAGATGATGGTCCAATATTTCACAGTGCGTTTCTTCCGATAGTTGTCTTGTCTTGTTACACAGCATCTCAAAATTGGTTACGACGCTAGTTACATTCTGGATGTCTTCCTTGATTCTTCTTCTATTGTACTTTTCTTTCACTGTAATTTCTAAACGGGGCCAAATATTTGGTGACAGTTTTCGACAATCGGCAGCCCATTTATTCCTCTCATAATGCCCCAGCGGATTTTTTTTCATTAATTACTTAATGACTCATTGGCCTGAAAACGTCGCGCGGGATTTTTCAAAAAGTGAAAAAAAATTAAAATTGTCGCAAAGCGCTGAAATTTGGTACGATGGCCTTATTTATTATTCTTACGAATATACTGCAATTTTAATTGCTTCACATGATATAAAATTGCAGTATATTCATGAGAACAATAAATAAAGCCATCGTACCAAATTTCAGCGCTATGCGACAATTTTAATTTTTTTTTACTTTTTGAAAAATCCCGCGCGACGTTTTCAGGCCAATAAGTCATTAAGTAATTAACGAAAAAAAAAATCCGCTGGAGCATTATGAGAGGAATAAATGGGCTGCCGATTATCGAAAACTGTCACCAAATATTTGGCCCCACTTAGAAATTAGAGTGAATGCAACCAGACTCACAGATTAGACTATTTTTTCACGTAACTTCAGTATACTTCTCATTAGTAGACCTATTTTTATCACTGAGAAAAAAAAGGGCCATGCATTCGTAAGGTTCAACGCATTTTGCGCCTCAACCCATCGGAAAACTCCCCCTAAAAATATATGTATTTTGCTTAGAATTACTAACCCCAGAATTCTATCCATGTTGTCTGACTGGGAAAATAAGTACCGAAAATCGTCACTGTCTCCTATACTATAAGGTAAGCCAGCGTTGCTTGGTTTCCGCCATGCAGGGTTTTGTGATGTGCGCCCATTATTATTAGTTTGCTCAAATGATTTTGACTTGGTAGTATTATAGCATGTTTCTGACTGTATGGTAACTCTGAATTTTGAAATCTTCCGCCAACTCGTAGGATTTGTTCCCAGTCAATAAATGAGCTTAGGTTGTATATTTTGCTTGATTTCTCCACATTTTTCTTTGTGTTAATGGACGATATCTCAGATGGAAATTCGCTTTGGATCACTTTAATAACTTCTTGGAAGGTTTTTCTTGTTTTTTCGACAGATAATATTGGTTTGTTGGACTTGTGGAAGTCTCTTCGACAGTAGCTTAATACTCTTATCATTCTGGTTAAATCGGAGACTCGTTCGATTATGTTTTCTGTGATTTGTATTTTAACCTGGATACATTTTATGATTTTCTTAGCTTCTTGGTCAGTTTTGGGTATTTCTCTAGCTAATGGTAGTGGTTCATGACTATGAAGGCATGCTGGTCCATTCCACTAGAGGAGATTGTTTGCTTATTGTTCTGGATTTGACCCTCTGGATATAACGTCTGCTGGATTTTCGGATGCTCTTACGTGGTTCCAGTGACTGCTGTCTACGTATCTATTTATATCACTCTCGCTATTGGCAACAAATGTTTTCCATTGATTGGGTTGACCTTTTATCCAGCCTAATGTTATCATGGAGTCACTTCATGTGAGAGTTTCTATATTTTCTATCTCTAGTGTCGAAATACCCGGATTTATCATTTTCGCTAATAAGTGTGCTGCACAGAGTTCAAGTCTCGATAGCGTTGTTCTTAGTTTCACTGGGGCTTCTTCTGATTTTTCCCAGAGAAGTGTGACATCTATGTTCTCTTCAGTCGTCACTGTACAGGTGTAGATCACAGCTCCATAGGCCTTTTTAGAGGCGTCACAGAATCCGTGAAGTCGAATAAAATTTTCTTGGCTGAATTGCATCCATCTTGAAATTCTGATATCTTCGACTTTATTTATGTCCTTTCATAAGGTTATCCATCTGCGAGTTCACCTTCTATTTTCTCATCTCATCCTAATCTTTCTAGCCATAAGTCTTGTATAAGTACTTTCAATTTGATGACTATAGGTGATAACCATCCTAAAGGATTCAAAATGTTTGATATCTCTGATAGGATATGCCTTTTTGTTATTAGACTCTCTGGTGATGTGGTAACTTTAAACATGAAGTTGTCATCACAAGTGATTTTTGGATGCCATCTTCGGATAATTCTTGGACGGTTAGGTTTTGTTACGATTTAGGAAGGGCTTGAAGCAGGACTGGATTGTTACTGCTTCCCAGATTAAAACCAGAAGATTGCATCATATTGATTATGTTGTTGAATTTCTATTGCCGATTTTAGATCATTGGCACCTGACAGGACATCATCTACGTAAAAGTCTCGTCAGGTCCTTTATTTGCAATAGGATTCTTCGTTTCTTCAGATTTTGCTAATGTTTGTAAAGTCTTGATGGCTAGTAATGGTGCAGATACTGTTCCATATGTGACAGTGGTTAGCTCTTATTCAATCTTTCGGTGTTCGCTGTCAGATCGCCATAAAATTCTCTGGTTAGGTTGATCTTTTCGATGGATGGATTAGCAGGATTTCAGATAGGTTCTGTTGGAGTCTTGGACC